TAAAACACTGTTCAGCGTTAGTGTTTTATTCAATGATCTAAAGTACAAAAATTATTTGCTTTCCAAAGCATGTGAATTATTGGTTTAACCGCATAACTTTCAGCAGAGTCATAAATCGAAATCCTACACCGTTTACTATGGTCCAAGCAACCAAATAGTATCTGTTGTTTTCAAATAACATATCTATAGCTCAAAGCTCAACACAGAAACAAATATTTAACTATTAAATTAATCAATAAGTCATTTGTAAACCATATGTTTGAAGATTTAGTCAGTTTACAGATAAACAAAATTCTAACGTGGAATGTTTTGAAGAGATAAAGATAACTTAGATAGTGTAACACACTAGGGAGTAATAGATAACTTGACCAAAGATTGTTCATATCTATAGAAGTCACATAATCATGAAATTGTCCAAAACAATCTATTAAACTATCAAGAATTGTCTTTCTGAAATGTTTATCAGTAAATCCACAGAAGTTATATTTCTCATTTACACCATACTGAACAGCATACACACTCACATGGAATGCATTTTTAATTGGTATATATACTGTGACCACCATCAACTACTCTCAAAAACCCCGAGCAAACTTTGGTTCGATGTAATTTTAATATTTGTTGAGATCTCATAAATATTCCACATAATAACATTCTGTATACTGAAGTTTTTGGAAATTATGTGTATTTACACAATGTTTTGGAAAATCCCTAACAAAATATAAAGGTCTATTTTTTCTGAAACCTTTAGTTACGTTGCTTTGGCGAACGTGAGATAAATATACCAAAAAATAGTTGGTACTTAAATGACCAGTGGTATATCAATGATTAATTACGATTGATCATGAAAGAATTAGGGTTCCTATGGGTCAAAATTCTTTTTGTTATTTCAAAGGTGTTAGTTGTATCTGTGCATACAAGTGTTTAAATGGTGGTTGTTTAAAATATGCTGCTTTTGATGTCAGTATGATTTTATGGGAAATTAAACTTGATATTCAAGTAGACTTCATCTAAACAGTTTCTCATACCACATTTACACTGCACTGTTATATGAAGTGTTTGTGGCATAGAAATTTACTTCGTCGAAATTAATCTGAAATATTGTTGTTAGAATCCACTTTCAAAATTTTGATCACTAATTAACTACCAAGCTGGGTGACTAGAAAACAGAGTTTCAGAATAAAATTGAATACTTCGATATGGCTAAAGTTTGTCGAAGTGAATAAATTTTGTGTTGAGATGTTGCTGATTTGTCCATTCCCTTTCTAATTACTTGGTAGATGATTTTCTCCTACGCTCCTATATTTAAAGCCCAGAACAGTAAGAAACTTCCCAATAATGTTTGAATTCCCATGATGTAGAATATCTAATTTGTCACTAATGGACACATAATTATCTATAAGGAATGAGAGTAACGAAAATTTACCATGCTTAGCTGCCTATTGATTTACGTAACCTTTTTGAGTTACCCAATAACTACACTAAAAGAAGTTTTCTAGTCTTCTTTAAATTTCTTTTGGTTTACAGTGTATTCCGAAGTGGAATTTTCGGTTTATATGTAATGATGATTTCAAACTGGTGTACCAGTGACTTGCAATCTTCCAAGACGTCATTTATGTTTACCAGATTCATTTGTTTGAATGTCACAAGGAAATTATCAATAACACATCATTTATTTACTTTTGTGGCTGACTGAAAATTGTATCACATTCCTGAAACCTAAAACGTGACACTTTATAAAGTGAGCCCTGATTAGACAACCTAACTTAGTGATGAAATTTTGAGAATTGGTATACAAATCGCCGAGGATATTAAGATTACTATTTTGAATAAAACAGTACCAATAGTATTGTAGAACATAGAGGTAGTACAACTGGCTAAATGAAAATTGAGCACCAGCCAGAAACAAATAAAAGTTAAACCGATCATTCTTTTGGGCAAACTGAGGTCATAATGGTATACTGGATAGTTACCACTTTACGAAAAGTTCATTGTAAATCTGAATGATTATAGTAAGTTGAAAACATAACGTTATTTTTCGGTCAAATAATACATAATCTTAAACTAGTAATAATTTTTCACGGCAAAAGAAATATACCCTGCCTAATATTGCTTATAACAGAAAGCTAGAACAACAAACCACTATAACAGAGCTTAGATAGAATGATCTAAATGAAGATAAGTCACAAGGCTATTTGGCGTCTTGACATAATATATATTCATCTTTCTTTAGGTGTCTTTTTTTTTAAAAATATGACTCCACAGGTTCACTGTTAAATTCTCACTCGGTAGCAATGATCATTGGTAGATAAAATATTTGTTAGTCTTCAAATTGTCATAAATTTCGTTTCCGACGTAGCTGACTGTTTTTGTCATATAAAGGTTATAATATCAATAGGGTTATTAATGTGGTATGTGACATTCACACCGTTAAATTTCCAAATAATCAAATCAATACAAATGAATTTTAAACTAACATGCAACAAAAGGAATGTTTATAATATTCAGAAATTCATGAGTGACTTGTTTAGTGATGAATTATTTCGTATCTTCTATTCTGAGTATCATCAGATATTCACGGAGCAAATGTTTGAAATAAGGTATCATTTTTTATGCCAAAGACGAGCAAACTATGATTGCATAAAAGTGGTCGGAAGAATGTTTGAAACCGTTTTACAGAATATTGAAATCTTATAAAACATTTCACTAGTTACGTTGAATATTAGTTTAAGTTGAAATTCTCTTGTCTGGATTTTGTTTTAGTGGAATTATAGTATAACTAATCTCATAAACTGGAACTTACCTAGCATTGTAGTTTAACCTTCTATCTCCCATACAAGTCAGTTTTTAAATGATTAGAAATAAACTTAGGTCGTTCAAACAGTGTTTCCTGTTATTCATATATACGTGATTGTTTCACTTGTAACAAATTGCCGCGAAATAAATAAATGAACAGGAAGACCTTAAAACGTTTATGAAAGATTGGATGACTAATATATGATTCACGTTAGCGCATTAATTAAAAATACTTTTGTATTTCACATATGGAACTGTCATGCATAAAAATGTTTCTGAGACCATTTAATGAAAATTTTTATTCACCTGCGGTTTATGCTAATATTAGGCTGAAAATAAGTGTCGATATGAGCTCGTTTACGCACATTAATAATGTTCTAAATGTAAATTATTTTAGAACTAATATAACAGTGCTTATTTATCAATGATATGGGTTAGATCTCCAGTTTTAACATTTTAAAATAAGATTTATAGTTACCAACTTTACAATTCTTGAAAATTTTGGAGTCATCTCATATATCATGTTACAATTAATAATCAGCAAATAATTACTGGTTAGTTTCGACCCTTTTTACTGTTATTTACTTTAGATTATTTTTAATGAAACAATTTGTTATCTACATTTCAAGGCTACGGAAATAGTATATTATCAATAGTGATTTTTCGTCTGATTATCTTTTTTCAAAGTAATAAAAGCTTTCTTTGAAATACCCTTATAGTTTGTAATTCTATACCTATTGTCTATTATTATTATTGATATATCAAATTGCTATCAGAAGGGGTTTGGTGGATATTATAGCAACTTTGATAGTTGAGATCATGAATCAATTGAAGCTAGACCACCATAGAAAACCTGGAAGCACTGGACAGCCGTTTCGTCCTATTATAGGACTCCTCAGTGGTAGTGCGCATACACGACCTCGCCTCACGAGATTCGAACCCACTTTTTGTTCAGCATCTAATAATTGTATTAAATACACATCTGTACAAATATCAAAAATTACTTCTTATTATCAACAGAACAGATCATGACAAAAAATCAATTAAAAAACTTATAAACTATAGGATACTTGTTATAACTCTAGGGTTTCTTGTTATAACAGTCCTTTCACTTTTTACACGTATGCGGGACGTTAATTTACGTTAAACGAATAACTACACTAGATTTCCCACCCAGTGTCTATTCTACAGGACTTCAACACAACTCAGATCAAGAACACGAGATTAGCCTGACTATAACGTCAATATATTTCTACATCAAAATCCGACACAACCCAACAACAAGGAACAGTCAATGCATAATAAGGATAGGGGAATATATATATATATATATATATATATATATATATATATATATATATATATATATATATATATATAACACCTGTCATCCTATCTAATATCCGACTCAGCAAAACAACCAATCATTATCATTCTTGCCCACACACCAAAAAACTTACTTGACCCTTTAAATAAAACAATTTTCTTTTGGCTACTCTAATCAGTATGAATATCAATTAAAGTTAAAACATTATTCATTGTCTCTATGATAAAAAAATCTTTTTTATTTTCATTTAAATTACTCTTTTAAAATCCATAAAAATACACCATGTATGTATATTAACACACAATTTCATTTACAAAAAACAAAAAAAATTCTATTTATTAAGTAACAATACAAAAAAAACAGACAACAACAACAAACTGTTAAACAATAAAATGAAAGTGATTCAAATATCAATTTTTTATTTATCAAATTCTATTTAATTTAATTAACACTTTCTTTAAATATATTTTACATTTAAAAAAAATATAATTTGTAATGAAAATGATTGATTATTTTATATAAACAATGTTAATGTATAAGAAACACCGAAGAGATATGGTGAAAGGAAGAGAAGAAAAAATAATAAAGAATTGACAAAAACTTACACAGAAAAGTATATTGAATATTAGATGTTAAAGGAATGTGCAGAAAGCTAGAATAGTTTATCATCTATTTCTTGAAGAGTTGTACAAATGACACAAATATACCGTAGCTCATATCAATTTCTAAGTGCTTTATAAAATAAATATATTATTATCCAATACAAAGTTAAAATAAATTCTTTTTCTTTTCTTCAAAATAACTGATGATCATAAATGTCAAAGTTAAGAATTTGTATCTGGATTCCCCAAAAATACACTGAAGGCAAATATTATAAATGTTACACCTCCAATAAATGTAACTAGATAAGAGAAAAAGTTACAAAAGAAAAGTTATGGAATTAATAATACATATGAAATAGAGAGAAAATGAAACATGGATGGTAACAATTCCCACATAGTGAAAAAATGAGAGAAATATCAAAACGGTAAGACAACTCCGTGTTCAGGTTACGAATGCTTCTGAGTCATATCATTTTAAAACCGATGAAAAGAAGTGTTTCTTATGACAACTCAACAATTTTAAATTACAAGAGCAACAAGAACTAAAATAAACAAGTGGTCAGATCAGTTATTTTTACTAAATGGATGTCACCTAGAAATGGTTTATGAGAATGAGTGTTGAATAAGTTTGTGATAATATTATAAAACTTTTGCTCCAACACCCGTATCAGAATTTATGATCAGTCATCAGGGATTACTATTTGTCAAAAACCTTAACTTTCCTCGTTTTAATTAAGTTTTGTTCTAGATAATTTTACAGGGGTAACGCTTTTTTTCTACAACTTTTCATAGAGCAATCTTACAGTCAAAGATCATTTGACCCTACTTCAAGTAAGTGAAGACAAATTCCTCTTAGGTGTATATATTTTTAATACATAGTGTCCTCATTAAACACTGAATGAGAGTGCTGAGATGTTTAGAATCCATTTCTTACCTTCTTAATAATAAACGCTACTTCAGGACCCATGTGAACATATGCTCAGTTTAGTGCAACTGAAACAGTCGTCTGTTGGTATAATTGTTTTCACTCCTTTAACTTCACAACCGTTTATTTTTTTTAATTTTGTTGATGTGACGTGGCACAACTTGAACTGATACACAAATATGCTAGTTATCTGGACCATTACTTTATTTGCCCTTAATCTTTCCATGGTTCAGACTGTGATAACTCAATGTGGTTCGTTTTTACGCAAAGTATCAACCAGATCTAGTCAATTTTAAAAAATAAAACCTTAATTGAGATAGACGACCACTCACTCATACGATATCACGTCTTTCTACTATCTCTCTTAATATTCATATATTACTATCATCTTCCATCGAGATACAAACACTACAAAAGAAATACATTTTAGAGACTTTACGTTACGAACTTCATCTAATTTGAAAGACATGCGAATCAATTTCGTATACTCTATGGGAAGTGACATCATTTCAAGACGTTTTTTAATAAATGTGAGATCGTAGAAAATTTATTCTACAAACTTTTGTAATATCTTAACTTCACTCCACTGAGAAACAGTAATTGCAGAGGACTCACTAAAGTTTTAGAAAAAAAAATGCTTTACACTAATATGTCATTATCTAGGACATTATTAGTAATTATTAACTCAGTCAATAAATATAGATCCATACATTTGACCTCGAGGTAAAACGTAAGTGTGAGAACTAGTAGTACTTCCTCTTTGCTTTTGATATATGTGGAGAAGACAGTCGTTTGATTCTGGGTTACATGCTTTAATTACTGAAAGGGAAATTAATCAATCATGAGACGGAATTCATATTAATTTTAAGTTTACACTCTGCTGTACTGTTCTAAAAACGTCTTTCCTAAGGAGATTTAGCGATCTGGTGGATTCAATGGGTCAAACTGATTGCTTTTGAATTTTCAACCAGCAAGTAATACATACTAGATCGTGGAAATTACAAAGAGATAATCGACATATTTATTTGATACTGAATTTCTGAGAATCAAGTATTTACTTACTCCACTGTACAGGAATACGTTGAGCAACAAAACGACCCATAAGGACAGCCAAACCTGTGCACAAAGCATGACCGACAACTCCACCTACGATTACACCCAAAGCACTCTACATATGGAGACAGAAATCAGGTAAGAAAATGCTGAAAACAATGTGCCAGTGAAAGTACTACTACTAAAATCGTAAAACGCCTACTGCAGTAAAATTCTGAATTATTAAAAGACAGTTTTTCAAAGCCTGATTATAAAGTTCTTAAGCAAATGTATGAATTAAAGGTATGAAAATAATTTTTGTTGCAATTTATTCCTTATTTAATGCAAATGCATTGTGGTACAACTAGGAACGAAGAAAAGTATGCATCACACAATTATAGAGATAACATGGTGAAGAAATAGAGGAGTACAGTTTAGTTAAGGAAAACCGAGAGACTTATTTTATTTGAAGGATTTCCATTCATCTTTATGTAAAAACACCAGGACCGCCATTAGTTTCTATTCTGAGCCACAGCTGATACAGTTTAAAGCTACATTCTCAGCCCAAGAAACTATTCTTAAGATCCTTATCATTCCTCTGGCCAGAAGTTTGACACCGATTTTAAAAAGAGCTACGGATAGGTAGTCTAAGCCCGGCGACTGGTTGCAATTAGTAAGTTGGGGTTCTTTCAGAACCTTCGCTTCGTTAGGTGGATTGGTCGTCATCGACCACGAGAGATAGAACAGTTTGGTTGAATTTGTTAGCGGCAGAAAACTCTGTTTATTGTCTAAGATGTCTTTGGACGTTACTAACCGGTATACCATTAACTTTACACATAAATTTGCTGACATCACGCCTCTTTATGCAGTGATTCGGATGAGTCCAAATGTGTCTTGAGAATCACAAGATTCGGCTGTTGTTTCTAACTCGTAAGCAAGTTCCAAACAACAGGTTAATCAGCCCTTACACAAAATTTCCTGGAGTTATCTGCGTGAAACATCAAAGTCGCTGTTAGCCGTAGGTCGAGGTGTCAAAAAGTGTATGAAGTAGTCTGTAGAAAACAAGTGCTTACAAACAGGACGTTTTGAGAAGCTGTAAGTGAGTTTACCTGCCATTCACGGAGTAATGAAGTTGCATTCAGTGTTTATCTATACATTTTAGTAAGTTAATAGCGAGCTATGAGCCTAACTCGGCTTGATAATTGGTTTCAACAGTAGCTACAACCAACTTTTTTATGTCAACCCGTCTGGGACAATATGTTTACTGGTCATCGAAACGCTAGACAAGCTTAGTGAAAACTAGACCATGATCAGAGTCCAGTTAGGTACTTACAAATGAGTGGGAGTCTTGTAACACATCCACACGAGTGGGGTCAGTGTGTAGGTAGAGGTTAAAGAAAGACGTTTCCCACATGCACTTCTTACTTGAATCGATTTTCCTAATCTAACAACATACAAATGACTTTTAATAGAGATCCAAGTAATTAGTGTTGACTCAGATCTGGTACGCAGTTTGGCGTCAATAACAGCCAGAGAGAATGCCGATGACACAGTTTTCGAATAAGCCTGAGTGAAAAAAACCTTTTGAAATGATATATGACAAGGGAGTTTGTGCTGCTTTACTCATGCTCTGAAAATAAGTCTCACAGACGGTAGATAACGTTTGAACTAGTAGTGAAGCAGAACAAAGTCACTTTCTTCGTAAATATTAATTATTATGTTGATGAGTGGGAAGGAATACTGATCAGGTACCCAGACTGAAACATGTAGTTTACCGCGAGGGTCACTTTTCGGTGCCTTTGAACTAGAGGACTAGTCTACAAGGCAGTAAGGCGACGTTAGAAGACATGACTCAGAAATATGTAACCGCATAAGAATGGATAATAGTAAAGGTTCACAAATGACATAGATCAGTTGTATAACAAGTATCACAAATAATTTATATTCGAAAAGTATATGACGAGTTTCGAAAACAAAGTTCAGATGCTTTCACCCTCAGAAGATAATAAATCTATACTAACAGATGAAAAACCATTATGAAGAAGTAAAACAATTTACTGCGTCAGTCACGTAGCACAAAAGTACTACGACTCGGGGCAGCCAATTACAGAACTAAAGGAGATATAACGTAGAACCCAAAAAATTCACGTAAATTCCAAGAAAAGACAAGTAATGCAGAGTTAATGACACAAATACATAGTAGATATACCAACAAAAAACACACGGAAACTGTCTGGAGAAGGAATGCATTAAAAGCGATCTATGGAGTAAACTCAGTAAATTGATCTGTACCCTATAGAATTCTCTGATCTTTAGTCTTGCTTACAATGTTTGGCCCTGTCGTGAATAGGCCGAACAAGACATTTAAATAAAAAAATAATCGCCATATTGGGTTTCCAATGTGCTTTGAATGTATAAGCCAAAAATGAAGTTCTCATTATATCTCAGATTTCTCTAAAAGAAAACATATAAACATTACAACGTATGTTGTATGACAATGAACGTTGTTTACTAATATATAAGACAGGCAATCAGTCAGCAACAATGTAGAACTTCGTACGTACGTACATCAGTCCAAGTTGTCATACCACATTAGCACAGAGATACAAAAGTCAATTCAAATCCCATTGTGGTAGAGGTAGCAAAAGTATAAGCCATATCATTCGAGGCCTCTGACCATCGGTTACTATCATCTCGCAGATCCCAACCAGGTAGTCTACACCTACCAACATGGCTCAGTTCACTTCTCAGTGACTTCACAGTTTTTTGATATGTTTTGGTCCGGCAGTGTTTATATAGGATTATGTTATATAGTTGATTTGAAGAGGGACAATCTCGGCGAATCTCGACCTACTTTGTGTAGAAGTTATTAATATGAAACAATGCCGATGAAAACATCCAATGATTACTTGAAAGAATTCAAAGTGGTGCCACTGGGTTGGAATTCTGCATGACCTACATTTACAATGGTTTAGGACAGGCCTGCGTCAGTGCTTGAATTAGTGATAGGAAATGAAGTAGTTGAGCGTATCACCATGTGTTACGCATACCCAATAACTACCTACTTCAATGCGAGATGTTGTCTGATGTAGGGATAAATTGGAACAAAACTGGAGGCGGTCAGACCAAAGCATAGCATCAGTTTATGAGTTCATTGACAGTTGGACTGAGCCAGGTTACCAGGTGTAGACTACCTGGTTGATGTTGGCGTGATTATTGTAACCAATGGTTAAAGACTTCGAATGGCATAGCTGGAAGTCATTTGCAAAAACGCAGGCCCATACATTGTTTGTATTCTCCCAGGTCATAAGCTTCTGGATTTTTCAGCTTTTTTCACTAATTTGTGTTGTTGCATCGCATCTTCGATATCTAATCCTTTTTGTTATCGCTAGTACTGCTAACTGCCTCTGCTACAATGAAATTTTCCTTAACAATTTCATCTTACTGTGCTAAGTTTGTGGCAACTTGAATCGATGTACACACTCAACAGGTTCTGTGTTGTGTCTGACTGATTGACCGAATATATGTACTCTAAGCTTATATGTCCAGCTACCAGCCTATGATTTAACAAAATGTCCACAAATTACTACGCCATCATAAGCGTAAAAATAAAACTTAAATGGTCATCAGTAACTCCAATCGCTTGATTACTAAAAAAGAGATGAGAAATAAAAAGTCCTCAACCATATACGTAGTTCTTTGTGAAGTGAAATACTCAACAACATACAGTTGTCAGATATAGCATTTAAATTTACTTAGTTCCAAATAAAGTTGAAGCACATTAACTTTAAGCACCATAGAGTATCAGAAAATCGTAAAAATAAGAACGATTTCAATGATAAACTTGCTGATTCTCTTATGTATACCTTAACTGATTGATTGGAATCGGGGAACACAGCCACGGAAAATAAAATGTATCGGTTCTGATAATCAGACTTAACAAGACCAGAGCAAAAAAATTAATAAAATATTTTACAATAAACAGGCACAACATATGCAGCAAAACCGACAATTTGGGAAATGTGTAGGAAAAGATGTATTTGCGGCATTATTTATTTATTTATTTAAACACATAAATATTGGTACAAGGAAGCACCAGATAAACATGCGCCTCACAAATCTCATTCGATTTGTGTGAGGGCTGTGATACTGCTCAGGTGCACAAACTGAAGCAGGTGGTTTTCATAGGGGACCACACCCAGAGCCTTCGACCTAAAGGTCTGATCCACAAGGCAGTGGAGCATCGTAAGGAGATGCAGTCCCATAGTAGCCGGTGACCAATAATTGGTTCATACGCTATTTGTTCCCTCAGGATATTGGAGCCCATGTGCACTATTGGTTTGGAATCAGGGTTTTCCAACTCCCCTAGGTGGACTTTCCGTGTCCACCAACCCGGTTAAAGCGCCGGACATTCACTTTTCGTCCTCTCGCTTTTGTGAACAACACTAGTGCTACGAGAAGGCAGTGAGTAGGACTTCCCTGACAGAGGCTATATATTCGCTGACCATGTGAGAGCATTTAGAGGGAGAGCGAACTCTCCCCACTCTCAGCCGTACCAGGGCATTTGAAATGTTATACTAATAAAACTAACTTATGATGTCAAGATGATCACTTACCTTTGTAGCTGCAAGAACAATTGTAGTTATCTGAGACCGATCACCCCATTCTGCCAAAAATGTGAGCACAAAAGCTTCCACAAAGATTGGAGTAAATATGTTTCTTGTGATCGTAAGTGATTTAGAGAGCAATCCCTGGGGAGAATCTGAGGTTTTAGTACCAGTTTCTACATCATCTGCTCTAGACTGTGTGAGCTGCATATGAACTTCATCGAACTCTTCTTTGGCTGTACTGGAAGACATAGTATATGCTAAGCACTTATGAAGCTTGCCAAACTTTACCTTCATAAAGCATCTTCAGGCCGAATATAAAAAACAAAGCACCGGATAAGTATAAGGTTACAGAGCGCGGGATGATTGTTGTTGCGTAACCAAGTAACGCTAAAAGGAGATAGTTAAAAATAGTTATAACTACCCGACAACATTGTCATAGTGATAAGAGCGAACATCGCTCCACAATAAACTAATGCTCGTGGATGCTGCATAGACATAATAGCGGCGATAAAAAATGTTTTATCACCAATTTCAGAGATTATAATAACATAAAATGAAGATGAAAATCCAGATAAGAACAAATTCCATGCTGAATTCAATTCTTTGGTCGGTTTGGACTGATCATCTTTCGCGACTGGAAGTTTTAATGTTCCGGATGGAGGTATTTCGAAGCAATTGATCCCATTCCACAGAGTAATGAGAAGGATACATTCTATTGTGAGCACCATCAGAACAGCTGTAACGCAACAGCAGAACTTCGCGCAATATTTGGCACTCAGTTATAAGGATAGTCATCAGTCCTCAGTAATATGGATAGTATGTTGGTGAACCTGTGTTAATCCTGCCCCTTTTTTCAGTCAAAATTCAGCTTCACCTATGTGGCTGATAACGGAAACGTAGTATTTCCTCCCTCCCTCCAAAAGGATAAGGACACTCTGGAACGTATACAACGCCGAGCCACGAAATCAGTTCGTGGACTAAAATTCAAACCTTATGAAGAGCGCCTCAAATCACTTAACCTTTACCCATTAGAGTACAGGCGTCTTAGAGGTGATCTTCTTATGACTTACAGTATCCTTATTACTTCTGGTCATCCCCTTAAACATCTTAAGCTTAGTCATAACACTAACCTGAGAGGTAACACGCAGAAATTGGAGACCCAAGATAGCAGAACAGATTGTAGACACAACTTCTCCGTTAGAGTTGTCAAGTGCTGGAATTCGCTGCCGACTGAGCTAGTCCAAGCGACCTCCCAGGAGTCCTTTAAGAGAAAACTTGACTTATTCTTAAGGACTAAGGATAACATATTATTATGATTTACCAAATTCTTTTTTCCCTCTATTATCGTTCGGAAAGCGTTCCACTGACCCTTGATATCTGTCTGCGGTCACATAAGAAGTTTCCTATCCACTCTTGTGCAGCACCTGTTATTCCAAAACTCGAGAGCTTCTGCATAAAACCAAAGTGTGAAACCTTATCAAACACTTTGCTAAACTCTATGAATATCACATTGGCAGACAGACAGGCCGTCATCTAGGACTGCTGTCCAATCCTCTCTCGCAATAAGTTGGTCAGGCATGAATGCTTGTTGCGAAATCCATGTTGCTCGACAGTTAACAGATTGTTCGAATCGATGTAACTTAGTAACTTAACCCGAATTATCTTTTCGAGTTATTTAGCGACTATGCTGGTTAGACTGGCAGTTTAGTAGTTAGATACGATCCGTCTCTGACCATCCTTAAATATAGGACTGACTATATCATCTTTCCAATCTCTAGGGAGTTGAGCGAGAGGAAGGGATATATTGAAGAGCGTTGCGAGTGGTCTTAAAATGATGTTCGCAAGAGAAACGGCAGTCATGAATGTAACCCATCAATGCCTACTATTTCACATGGTCTGAAGTAAGTGATCAATGGAAGAACAGGTTCCTCAGTCACATGTATAGGTCCTATGGCTGTTATCCAGGTGTGATTACGGCAAGTATTTTTAACAAAACATGTAGCGTTCGCCAAAATATTTTGATAAAGCCTCAGCTTTTGTCAGATCTGATTCAGCTAGTAAATCTTAATTCCGTGTAGCGTTTAAAGGGGAATACCATCACCGCGTTTTGTTCTCCGTTTAACGTACGAAAACAATTGTTTCGAAAGAGTACGGATATATATATATATATATTACGCTACTATCAGTACCAGGAAACCTTTCCAACAGAGTGTTTCTGAAATGGATGAAGGATTCGGTAGACACACATCTACAAGATCAAAAGTCTGTAAGGATCCGTTGTGTACAGACCAAATCTCAACACTGTGGTTCAGTGTTAAACAATCAATGGAACGGAACTATGGAAACACGACTAAACATCAACTTTCTTGATTGTTATTGCATTTGACACCGTGGCTAGAAGAATGTTATGGAAAACTACTCGACACTATGGAGTAGTAGTTGTGAAGACAGTCATCATCATACGTAATTAATACAATGAGCAACACTTCAAAGTCGTGTATAGAGGATAGTTGACAGATGCATTCTAATTGAGTGCCAGTGTCGGACAAGACTGCTTAATCTTGCCCTTCCCCTTTATTCTGGTGGTTGATCGGATTATGAAGAATTTCAGATCTGGATGGAAGCACGAAATATGGTGGACATTGTAGTGGTATTAATTACTAACCACACGATTTTCAAAGCTGAAAATATATATACTAAGAAGATTCACTCTGAACATGTAACTTTAGGAGAAGATCAAGAATGATGAGCGTTGGAACATTCATTCAGTCTGATAGCAGAACTCAGCCTCGCAGTCCAATCGTGTTGTTCATAAATATTTGACGTTATATTTCAGACTCTTACGATACGACAAGTCAGTGTAGAGAATGACGTGACTTCCACATAAGATCACATGGATTCGGTGGTCACATCATGACGAGTCTACAGTTCTAGGATTAGGTCTAGTATTATAAAAGTACCAATAGGAAACTAAACCACCATTCTATATCTCGGATGCAGCTAAACAATCGGGCTTTGACAGATGATCTAGCTCTTCCAGCTCATACACACCAAGAAATGCAGGTAAAGACAGCCAGTGTGGCATCAGCCTCTGCTCGGTGGGTCTCAACATAAACAAGGGAAAAAGCAAGCTTCTCAAATACAACATTGTGAGCAACGACCAAATCACTCTTGATGGGGAAGCTGAGGAACAAGTCAAAACTTCCACATATCTGGGTAGCATCATCGATGGGCAGGGAGGATCAGATGCAGATATAATGGCAAGGGTTGTCAAAGCGAGAGTGGCATCCCTACAGTTGAAGAATACATGGGACTCGGAACAACTATCAAACAACATCAAAGTCAGAATCTTCAGAATGAGCTTTAAGATAACTCTGTTGTATGTAGCGAAATTTGAAGGATCTAATTTAACCTACAGATATTCTACCGAAACCGTGAACATAACACTGACGACTTAGAGTCTATTTAAATACTGTCGTCAGAACAAGAACAATTTGGTTTCAAACTTTATTCGTTTCCAAACGTAAAACAGAACAGTTCGATTAGTACAATAGTTAAGGCGATTGTAGTCATTATTTAAAACACATGAACATACCGACCAATATTGTGTGTGTTATTGAATACAACAATCAGGAGTTGCAGTCACACTAATATGATAGAATAATAATGTCTTTCAATCGGCAGGTCACATGCAACAGAGACAGCAGATGGAGTTGACGTGTTGGGTGTGTAAGCAGCGATTCGATTGTTTAGTTATGAACATAACTGACAGAAACTTGTAAAACCACTGCAACCACCATCAAGAACCCACGGTCATTTATAAACAGTTGTCTACGGAAGATACTCAATGTCCTTTGGCCAGATCCCATCAGCAACAACGTGGTGTGATAGAGAACAAACCGACGTCCAGATGAAGATGAAACCGGGAAAAGACGCTTGTGGTTGATAGGAAATACATAGTGAAAGCCATCAAACTGCATCACAAGACAAGCGCTAACTTTGGATCCTGAAGAGAGAAGGAAAGGAGGCAAACTCAAGAAGACAGTGAACCGGGAACTGGAGGAAGATGTCAAAAGAATGAAAAGCAACATAAAACTACTGGAAGGCAGAGTCCAGCTCAGGATAGATTGGCAGAACCTAGTCATCGAAAAATGCTCCACTAAGGGTAATAGTTGTAGTTAAGTAAGTAAATAGATAAATAGGCGTGATAATTGGAAATATTCGAATGTCCCAACTTAGAACATCCGAAACAGTGCAAGTTGGGGCAAGTGGGACTAGATGAACACAAACGAACGTATTATATTTGAAATTGGTAATGATAGTGAAATCAAGTACTAAGGAATCATTAGTTCGTAAAAATACTACAGTGAGTAGGTAAGTAGGTAAGTGAGTAAATCTCCCTATTCATTACTTAGAATTTTCCTAATTAAATCCTCATAATAACGTTATGTTGGGATAATGAATAAATGAGTGGTATCTTCCAGGAATTAATCAAAGTGTATTGTTATGTGTATATCCTTATACTATGTTAATAATTATAAGTAACTGGATCCTGAATATACTAATGTTCCTTTTATCTCAAGTTTTCATTCGATCCATTAGCTACTGTTATGCGATTTACAGTTCTTGATTTCTCCCAGACCTATTAGTTACGCACACCTATACTTACATCCTTTTTGGGATTGACCTCGTATAATAATTATTTTTGATTTATGTTGTGATGCGGTTCGATCTGCGTGTATATAAACCACATATGCCTGTAATATACGATTCGTATAGCGGAGACTGATGTATGTGTTGTGAACCAAACTGAGTGGGCTATATGAGGAGCCGTTCTACAAAGGACCATTGATGTTTCGGAATTGAGTTTGAGAGGTAAAGCTGACTACTTTCGGTGGTTTAGTACAAAGGCTATGTCACATGCACCAGGGATATTCTACAAACACATTAGATGGGTTAGACTTTGTAGGCGTTTAGGCAGCGATTTGATTGTTTATTAATTAACATGACTAAAAAATTGTTCTCCTCATTTTCGTGATATACATTTAGGTGTATTTGCGGTTGGTTTAACTTCATATATGCCCACTTGTTTTAAAGGCTGTAGCTCCTCACGAATAATTAGTATTATCGATTATTTGTCAAGACATAGAAATATACCTTTCTACCTTTTTTATTGTACATCACTTTTACTGTGTTTTTTGTATGTGTTTGTTTTACTTAACCTTTGGTTTTTTATATCATTCTTTTCGGACATTTTGGTTTCTTTTGTCATTGGTTTGGTATTTGGGAGTTTTTGCTCCGGGAACCTAAAAAATTGAAGGTTTGTTTTGTAATTGTTATAACTATTGTTGTTAGAACGACTTTACTTGTGAATTGCGAATAAACTTGGCATCAAATTTTGAGTTTTGGTTCTCTTGTCTACTTGGGTTCGTGATTTGCGAACATCGACGACCAGTACTTTAATAGTTGGAACGGGCAAAAACTCATAATTGGACGTAACACCATATAACTCTAAAGTGTTACACGGTTTGTAAACATGTCGCTTTATGGGATTGCTAGCCGCTTTTTAGAATCAAAATTACTGTGGAAAACATTTTCTGATGCTTTGTTGGTCACCAATCTGTCAGGTGCACTGACATCGATTATCTGAACTTGTTGTGGTTGGTTTGTTATCCTATGTGGTCGCAGGTAGTATAATTTCATGTTATCAAGTTCACAAAGCATACCTATTATTTTTGAACTTGTATAAGGATAAATATCTTTCTCATGTAGTCCTTCTACATGAACTTCATAGCCTTTCATTTCACAACTTTTGATATTTGGGTCTTAATGGTCGCATACCGTTGATAATTTTTAGGACGGATTAACATTGTGACACCATGCTGCTTTTAATTGACAACCACCAACGTTCAAATCGTCCAACCAACGCGA